GAGAGAGAGAGAGAGCCCCCCCACCCACATGTGTGTATCGTTCAGTCAATCTATATATGTCTGAATATATATATATATATGTGAGAAAATATATATATATATATATATATATGTATGTATGTGTGTGTGTGTACACGCGTGTGTGTGTGTATCTATATTCATACTATATATATATATATATATATATATATATATATATATATATATATATATATATATATATATATATATATATATATATATATATATATATATATATATTCTATTTAATTTTTTAGTCAATTCAATTATATTATTTAAGTCCACTTATTTTTGATCCACTTACTCAAAGTCCCATGTATATATGTATATTCTATTAATTTTTTTAGTCTATTCAATTAATCAAATATATATATATATATATATATATATATATATATATATATATATATATATATCGGTGTTCTAAATATCGGTTGTGACGGCCGATATATCGGTGGCGGGCATAAACCTTTACGATATTTGTGTGGCGGTTTTGAAAATCGATTTATTGTTGGTGAGGCGGTTTGTGGCGATATGTGGCGGGCCAAACCGATATATCAGGTCAAACTTCGAGCGATATATCGGAAAATATTATTTTTCTAATTTTTTTAATTTATTTTTTATTACAAGGAAAATAGGGTGTTTATCTTTATTTTTTTTTCAATTATATATTTTAGTCTATTTAATTATATTATTTAAGCCCACTTATTTTTAGTCCCCCATGTATGACTTGCTTTCATCTTCTATTTCTCAACTTCATTACGTTTCTTGAAAAAAAAAATTGTTCTCTCCCACAGTCACACTAACAGCAGTTAAATTGCCACCCACCGACAATCGTTTTAGCATTTGACAACTTCTCTGTGTCAATTTGATAATCGACTTGATATTCATGTTTCTTAAATTTTCATAGCAGCTTTCGCAATTCATTTTGTTATTATCTTCTGAAAGTGAAGGAAAAAAATTCAAATCAAATTTCTTTTGTAGCAAAAAAAATTTCGGGGGCGCTGCCCCCGCACCCCGTGTGTTTAAGCCCCCCCTACCCCACACCAAACTTTGTAGCCTCGCCACTATTGGCAATGATAACATGCAAAAAACGGTGATACTAATTTACGTTAATCTCAAATTTTGAAAATAAGAACCATTAATATGTATCTTACTCGAGCATGTGTAGTGGGCGGGTAGACAAGGAAGTTAAAATCAAACTCGAATGCTTTGACCTTTCAGCTCGTATAGTTCTCGACTCAAGTGTTCGACATCTCTGTATTGCAGATGTAGCTCATGGTTTTATGTTAAGAGTCGAATTCTCATAAACACGAAAGGAAGATATAGCCATGGATAGGTATATTTACCCGAAACTCAAAACTAAATAATAAGTTTAGCGCAAACCAATCCACAACCGATTAAGTTCATAATCGTAATCATATGAAAACAAATTTGCACAACTGGAATAGCAACAATGTAACTATATAAATATTGTAATACCAAACACAAACTGAAAGTAAAAGTATTGTGATACAAATTTTTCACAAACTTCGAACTTGAAAATAGTCGATCCCACAAGCGTCGCCGTCTAGCCAAAACACATTGGCCTTCATTATAAGTAATAAAAGCAACATGTTATTAAAAAGAGTTTTGCTCCCAAATGTTCTTCGTTGTATAAAGTTGACCCCGAATCCGCGCCCTCGAATGACCACACAACAACATCGTCCGCTATGTTGTTAAGAGCTACAACCTTCGTGGAACCGTCCCTTCCGACATCTTGAATCACCTCGACCAACTTCGAGTCCAACCGGTGATGTTCTTTTTCATTGACTATGATTACAGAAAGCATAACGAAAAGAGGAAAGGGGGAAAAGAGAGAGAAAAAACAGTTGGAGATAATTTGTCCTTCAAAATATGAAAGGACCTTCAAATAAATTAAAATAAATAAACACATCATGATATGCTAGATAATTGCAAAAAAACATTTTGGGATGTCGCAAAATGGCAGCACATGTGATATTATGAACAATGAAGGGTGAAAGTGTAAATACCACTTCCCAAAATAGCACAACAAAAAGATTTGGCGCCTATTTCCCCCTAAAAAAAATCACATAAACCTTCTCCGTCAAATCAAAACTCAAAACCCAACCCCTGCAACAAAGTTCCTCACACACTATGCTCTCCCGTAAACGCTCTTCCAAATCCAACACCCCCTTCGTTCCCCCATTCGCGCAGCCCCCAACCACCAAACTCCTCAAACCCACCACCACCACCGCCGCCGCCGCCGCCGCTCGAAATGAACCCACTACCTCTGCTACTGCTTCACCACAACCCAAAACGACGCCGCTCCATCAAAGCCAGAGTCCAATTGACAAAATGGTCTCCCTTTTGGCGGATGCAGGGTGCACGCTGATCAATCCCGCCGGACCGCCGTGCCTTCCCTCCGACCTCTACAAATTCCGTCAACGGCTTGACGGAATATTCTCCCGCGATTCCTCCCTTCGGTCCCAGTTTCTCAAGGGCTTTTCAGATTATATTTCTTCCACCTTCAATTTGCGCCGGTTAGTTTGTGTTAGGGCAATTTTTGTTATGTTTTTTTTTTTTTTTTTTACCCTTATTGATCTTCGTAGTGTCAACTGAAACTGTAAATTGCAGACTAAAATTCAGTAATAGGTGTTGTTACTTTACACTTTTTTTTCTTTCTATCATATGCTATTTATTCTGCTGATAATTTTACAACTAAACCAGTCCCATAATCTTTTGGTAAATACAGTGTATTGCTACCTTATCATCAAGATGGATTTGGATCGGTAAGAAGAGATAGCTTTGTTCGACTACTCTTATTGGTTAGATCCATCCAGCAAGACCTTCTAGACATGTTGCTTGAGAAACTCCCCGAGTACTTTGACGTGGACCCCATTGTCAGTAGTTGTGGATTCTCGTCATCGTCGCGTGTTGATGAAGATGTGGCAACGCTAATACTGAACCAATTAAGATGGCTTGACTTCCTTGTCAATTCCGAGGCTTTTGTTGAGAAACTGCTTCAAGTCTTAACTATTTGCCCCCATCATCTAAAGAAAGAGATTATAGGGTCATTGCCTGAGATCATAGGCGACCAGAATAATACGAGTGTGGTTAATTCACTTCAGCAGATGCTTCAAGAAGACTCTTCCATTGTTGTTCCAGTGCTCGATTCGTTTTCCAACCTCAATTTGGACGACCTGTTGCAGGACCAGGTATTTCTCTGCATTCTAATTACTGATCGTTGTGGTTACTTTGCTTTTTGTTTAATCTTATTGTTCCATTTCTGCCTCTTACTTTTTGATTTATTTTCTGAAAACATGTGAAGGTGATTATGATAGCTTTATCCTGCATACGGACAATTGACATCGAGCACATACCCTACCTACTTAGATTCTTGCTGCTTTCAACAAACACATCGAATTCTAGGCGAATAATCTCCAAGATACGTGAAAAGCTGAAATTTGTGGGAGCATCTCACACACAAGTCTCCCAGAACAGTAAACTTAAAGGAATATCTGTTGTACATAATACAGAAGCTTCAATTCTTGATGCTCTGAGATCTAGTCTGCGTTTCAAAAATGTCGGTTTGATAATACACTTTTGAAATTGTCATTTTTGTGTATCCTCATATGCGACACATATATGAATGTATTAAGCTGATTCTCTGTTGATATCTTTCTATTTGTAGATTCTTTGTCTGGAGATATTAAAAGAACTGAAAAGTTTGGACGAAGCTCACAAGCATAAAGTGATAGACATATGGTTGCTTATTCTCATATTCATGAACTGTGAAACTTTGCAGAAGAGTGTTGAAAAGTTATTCAAGAAAAAAATTCTTGATGGTTGTTTTCAAGAACATATGTTTGAACAGTGCATTCATGGTTTCAAGGATTTGCCGAAGGTATTGGATCACTTCAAACACAACTTTGTATTGGATTTTTTGTTGTGTCTTCATATACGATACTCATCACAAGAATTGGTCTGTCTATAGGATTTTCTTACCACATTTGTATCATTAGCTGCATACATGTTGGCTTGCAAAGAGCAAAGAGTTCAGGAATTTGGCGTTCACATATACATATGCCTATTTGAAGAATTATGTGATGCTTATTTGAGACAAGAAGTGAGTTATCTTCTTGATATCAGAACACGTAAGATGGGGTTTCATTCATGCTCAAAGCCCTAATTAATGGCAATTTTATGAAGGTTCTAGGAGCATTACTAACTCATGTGGGTTCTGGCATACACTTTGAAGTAAGTGCGGCTTTAGATGCCATGGTTAAGCTGGCCTCTAAGAAGTCCCAGGAGTTGATTTCACTCTCTTCTCACATAAATGGTAGGCCTAGCTCATCATTCTCCTTTTCTTATAACAGTAAATCTATTTAAATTTTGCATAACTACTTCCGTAATTTCTTAATCTGCTTTTTGCCATCTTTATAGGTATCTTGGATTACTTGGAGGGGTTTAGTGTTGAGAACCTCCACAAGGTTCCTACCATCTTTTATTATACTTACTGGATGTCATCATCTGTTTCTTGATCTTTTCTTTAATTCATGTATGTTGCAGGTGTATGAAGTTTTCATCCGACTTGCAGTTTCTGACCATTCTAGCTCACAACCTTATGGATGTTCCATTGCAAACGAACTTCTAATGATTTTGAGAAAGCAGGCAAACTGGAAACAAATCCTCCTTTGCATTTTTCTATTGATTCTGATATTTTTCATGAATTTATCTTTTTTTGTATTGCTGGAACTCACTTTATACCTTTGCAGATCAATAACTCTGACCTGATGTACAAGAAGATGGGCCTAATAGGAACACTTAAAATAGTTTCCTACATAGCAGATACAAATAACAGCTCCCTTCCGCCTTTGTCACAAGTAATGTGCCGTTGCTAAACCTCAATTGTAGATTTTATTTATAGGCATATGATGTACATGAATGATTGAAGTAACCCAGTGTCTTTAATGTTGTTAAGATGTGCATACTGATTCTAGAACTTCTTTGCAGAGGTCAAATTATGAGGAAGCGGTGGAGCTCTTGAAATTATCGTTGGACTCTTGCCAACAAATGCCTTTACCATTAATCTTGTTTTATGAAGAACTGGTTTTGACATTGCAAAATAAAACACTTCATCCAGTTGTTATGGAATGGTATGTGGCAGTATGGAGGTTGCGTTTCCGAGTTACAACATAATCTATTAGATACTTCATACCCTCCTAATCCTGTTAATCATAATCCTTAATAATGTTACTTTGTAGGATTGGCAAACAAGTCGTAGAATTCGAGTCAGTTTACTTATGTGACCTCGATAGTGGAAATTTGATTGATCAGGACTCGTCTCAGGGTTTAGAAGGTAAGAGAAGTCTATTTGTTACTTCCATAAAACTATAAGTTGGGATACTTTATGCTAAAGCTAGGTGAAGTTTTTTATTGAAACTCTGTTTACATGATCCAGGAGAACTATGGATGAACCTGGATGGTGATATATCTCCTATATGCTTAAACATTTTGCCACTTGTTTTTTCGTCGATTAGGTAATTCTTATCTTTTAATTCTACTAGTTTGATTAAGAATTTACTGGCTGTGGAACTTTCTTATATAGACTGGCTGTTGAACTTTCTTATGTCTTTTATCACAGATCCACTTCGCCACTACAAGTTCTTCCTACCAAGTTTATTTTACTTTCTCTAGTGAGTGCACCTCCTAATCAATCCTAAAGAGTGATTTTGAATTGAAGGTATGATAGTTTGACGCAATTTTTTCAGGTTGAGAGATCAGCCAATCAAGGTTCTCTTGGAGGCATAGATGCACTTCTTGGTTGCCCTTTTCACCTTCCTTCCTCTAAGGTTGGGTGTACTCTGATGCTAATAGATCTTGTTGTGATGAACAAAATCTTGTTATCTAGTAGTAATTTTTCTGTAGCCTCAATTACCAGGATGGTTTTCATTTACGTCATCTTGTTTTCTTGATACATGTTACCCCTATTTCCTGAATTACATTAAAAAAAAATATTGGTGCATGCCGACCTGGTCTAAAAATTTAGCCATAGTACCATCATGCTCCAGCACGCTTTTTATAAAAAAAAAACTTTACTTTATTTTACCTATTGTAAGACTTTGTCATTACCTGATTTGAAATTTCAAGAACTTGGGCTTACACTTAAGATGAAAACTAAAAATGTTTGGGAACATTTATCCTCCAGTTGCAGTAGCATCTTCAGCATTGATCAAGTCGATCGTCAAGCGTCTTAAAAGAGATAACAGTGTTATCAAATTTCTTTGAATTGATATGTAGCTTATGGAAATGCTTAAAAGAGTTTAAAAAACCTCCCAGAATCTAGAAAAAAGTAACAGACGTTAAAGATTTGATTCTACTCAAACGGAAAGGTCTCCGACATGTGAGTTTCAATCAACTAAATGTATCAACTATAAGTGATCTATGGTTTCTTATATGTATATGAAAGTGCGACATATGAAATGATTCATTCATGTATACTTGCATATGTTTTTCTAGTGAAACGTTGGTGTGTTGCTTTTTAAGAGCCTACTCTTGACTTTATTAAGAAATGAGTATATTTCTCAAGAATGTTTTCTGCTGCCATTTCACAAGAGACTAACTCAATATTTCAACTGTGTTTTTGATTTCCTGTGATGCATTTAAACTTGACCTTTCTCTTATTTTCTTTCTTTGATGAAGTGTGTAAATACTGTAATATAATATTTTTTTTTCTTTAATACAATGCAATACATGGTTTTATGATATGTCCTATTTTACTGACGTCGTATTATGTGCATTTATAACACAACAGAATATTATAATTTTATCTTACATTATATTAGAGCAATAACACGTTGTGAATTTTTATTAGCCTTAAGCACATGTATAATTATGTACATCTTCTAAATGTTTCATCTATCTTTGCTGTGTATATTTTTTAACAATGCCATTTCCTGAAGCCAGTATCTTATGTGTTTTCTGTGTATCAGTACGTACCAAAGCATATTATTTAAATTTTAATTTCTCACGAGCTTAGGATTTTGGAGCAAGTCTTTATGAGCATGTTCTCAGTTGCTGCCTGCAGCCATATGCTGACTTTTTCTATCTTTTCTGTGGCAGCTTTTCTCTGAACTTTCTTGGCAGTCTTTGACAGTAAAGCAAAAACAGATTGCTATTCTCTCTCTTTATTATGCTTCTAACTGGATGAGGGAGCTGGTAAATTGCCTACCTATTTTCCTAAGTGAATATCTATTTATATTAGATAGCAGTTCAATACTAACTCTACACCATGCAGCTAAATGTCTTTTCCACTCAAATAGTAAAGGAATGCGACATCATAAGCCAAGCAACGAAGGAGGAAATAATTCCTAAGCTATTAAAGCGTTTGAGGAACCTTGTGTATGTTCCCACTACCTTTTGAAAGCAGATTTTACCAAATATATAACCAGAGCTTTTAATACCATAGTAAATGTCGAGAGATTCCAACATAAATGATGCTTTATGATTACAAAAAATCATTCCTGATACTCCACAATTGTCATTTTTTCGTATTATATCATACAACAATAGATTAGATTTGTAATTTCTCATCAGATATATCGCATAATTATGTAACTTGCTGGAACTCAATTTCTCATTGCTGACCAAAATAAGCAGATTAGCAGCATTAAAGCATTCTATATGACTTCGAAGTATTTAAATCCTTAGTCGGTTCTTAAGTAGTTGTGAGCCAATAAAACTATAAGCAGCCGCATTTTGGTTTCTCTCACCATGCAATGTCATATTTTTGTTTTTTATACAGAGTACAATGAATCAGACTGTTATCTATTCTCAGTAGTTATGTTATGGTATTTTAAGCGTTCTCACAATGGATGCATATCTCACTTAGAACAGACTTAACGAAAGCTGGGGACTAAAATGACGGGAGAGTGATCAATTGGATGGCCGAATGCCTAGTGGATTGTATATGTTATTGCTAGGATGGCACCTAAATATGTATGTTATGCAGATTACTTTATGAACTTAATACAATGAACGGAACTCTTGATGTGCAGATTTGTTGAGTGTTTATTGGACAATTGTCTCAAACAACACCCAGTGCTTCTACCTGAGCTCTGTCCTCATTGGGAACTGTCACCAGTTATTGAGTTTGACCATGCCGGGGACTTAGAAAAGATGAACCAGCTGCATAAAGGTAGTGAAGGTATCTCCCAAAATAAAAAGAGAAACAGAGCAAAGTCCTCATCACCATTGGCTAATTCAAACATTGAGGAAAAACTCAGGCAACCAACCATAGTTGACACCTGGAAGAAAGCTGGTGCTATACCCAGCCAAGAAACTCTCAAAGAGGATGTGTTGGTGACGTCATCAAAGAATAAACAATCTGAGTCTGACGAAAATCAGGCCGATAACTCTAATGTACCACTAAATATTGAAATATCTGCACCTGTGAAGTATTTAGAAGCACAGAGGTACAAATTCAGGCCTCTTTCAGTTGATTGCCTAACAATACTTACAAGTTTAGAGGTACGCATAATTTTTTTTTTAATGTTATTCTCTTGCATCCATGCTTTATGCATTGAGTTGTGTGTTAATATATTGCAAAGTTGAAAGAGTACCTACCTTTTGATTGTTTGAAATAGCAGTATAAAGAGCTTAACCTTGCATGAATTGGTTGTAGATGGTATTTGTTGATTCTTAATTAGCTGTTCTACTCGATTTGTAGATGGTAGAAGATATATTTCTACCTTGGCATATGCAGTTAGTCATCAACAGAAGTTATAAAATTTTCTGATTTTTTCCTCCTTCCTTTCCTTTTGTTCTCTCTTACATTCAGAACAATGAAGGTTCTTGTTGTGAAGACCCATCTGCTGAGGTATCTCTCTGTCTATCTCTTTCTCTGTGTGTGTGTGTATGTTTGAGTATGCATATGATGGGCTTTTTCTCAGTTATCAGAAAGAGGTACGGTCAGCCTAACCATACATCTACCAAAAGGCAGTTTTTCATGAAAAAAATAGAAAATTCCTGGAGTATTCTAAAAATTGAATGAGTTTAAATTGTAATGTTATTCTTTAGAGCGGAGTAAACTTTAAAATATTGGCAGTTATATCAAGAAGTACCTATTTAAGTAGCTTAAGGCAATAGGAGAACTTGAACGAGTTGAAAGTTCGTTTTCAATGACAACACGAAAATACATGATTTATATTTTAGGTGCTAAATGAAGTATTCACTAGACCTAGAAGAATAGAAGTATATAATTATTATTTAATAGATTGCTTACTTTCCTTTCAGAGAACGTACTCTTTTCTTTCTTTATTCGTTTCTTCTTCTTTTTTTCTTTGCATTGCATGGGCCACTCATTAAGGGAATCCAAGGGAAAGAAAACTCTGTTTTAGAGAACCAGATTGCTTCCTCAACATTTCTACTTACATAAGAGCACTATTCACTACTAATGTGAATGAACACAACTATCCATAACAAGATTTCTAAAACCAAGGAAAAAGTTTGATTGAGAATATAGCATTCAAACAAAATCTGAAATTCACACTCACAAAAGAAAATATAAACAAAAATTTTATGGTCGAGTAATGATAAATTTGTACAATTATGTCCGACATATTTTGCTGTGAAACTGTATTACCGGTTTATGGGTCACATGGGTAGTTTTAAGTAAGGAATACACTTCAATTTGCAAACTGAAATCATGCTTCTAGCTAATTTAGTTATCAAGAGCTCATTGACAACTTTGCATAGCTATTATTTAACTCTTGGATTTTACTAGTTACCGCTTCATCTGTATCTCCTGCGTGATCTTCACAAAAAGCTGGACCAATTAAGTCCCACAAGAAAACAAACTTTAGCAAGATGCTCAAACGCTGCAGCAGGATTCACGGGGATTAAATCAAATGACTTCTTGGGCAAGTTAAGACCTTGGTTTCTGTATCTTAGAAAAAACTTTGATCGTGCAGTACACATTCTTAGAGAAGGTTAGTGATAAATCTTTTGGCAAAGATGCGGAATATGTGCTATTTGGTTATCTATGTTGACGGAACTCTATTGTAGATACTGAAACTTGTCAAGAACACTGGATTGCTCAGTCTAGTTTGGCTGCAAACCCAGAGATAACAAATACAAGTATTCTCGCATTACCAACTCAGACCTCTATTTCAGTTTATAAAGAGACACTTCTCTGCATTGGCAAGGTGATTTAGAGTTACCCGTAATTCTTATCATTTCTTCTACATCACTTGTACAGTTGTTCGCTGTTTTGCTCATTATAGATTGTTTCTTTTTTATTCTGTGGCACTATCAATTTTCCGCTGTTTTTAGTTTTTCAAAATGCTGATCATTGTTTACACTCTCTGTTTCTTATGTGCAGATGCTTAATCTGCCAGATGTTTTGAAGGAAAAAGAAATCCTATCAGATATACTCCAGGCCTTTCAACCAATGGAAATATCTGGTTGTTTTTTCCAAGGAATGCAGCTGATTCCTTCACCAGGGAATATGGACTATTTATATTCTGGTGCTTATATTTTCCTAGGAACCATCTTTGATGATGGTAGGTTTATTTTTTTTTTTCTTTTTCTTTTCTTTTTTGATAATTCTCAAACCAAAAACCATATAGAGGTAATAAGCTTGACTATTCTTTTCCGCAGCAATGAACTTTTCATTTACACTGGCTTCAGAAGTCTTGTTGACTTTGGAGTTGTTGGTTATGTCCATCCGTATGTTCCTCGATGTATCTCTGTGTGAAAATGGAAAGGATGCTTGCACAGAATTCAGCAAGGAAATCGTTCCTTTTCTCTGCAACAAGCTGGGGAGTTATGCTCAGAAACTCTTGACGCACAAGTGCGATAGGGATGATGTTGACCACAGTTTGAAAACTAAAGTGAGTTCAGTTTCTTATATTTCAAACATGATGGATTTGATTGAAGGGGTTGCATTCTCACTATGTCGAGAAAGTTGGAGAAATAAACACAATGCTATTCATCATTGCAGGGGGAAATGGTCCAGAAGATACTCCGCATATACTTGGCGAATTGCCAGTCAACTTCTGATTCTCTAAATGAACTTGCCTGCTCTGTTTTACCTCAGGTGCAATTTTCTAGAATTACAACATATATTTACATACATATAATAAGCATAATATATCTACACACGTATCTATCTATTAAATTTTGAATCCTATAAGTATTTTGTTCCCTTTATGAAAAGATATGTATGTTCTCATCATCTATATGAAAATAGTGACCAACAAGGTGATAGAAAATTACAGTTAAGGAATTTAGGATGCACAAGAAAATATATCTAATAAAACAATAGCGAAAATGGTTATATGGGACCCCAAATCAAGTCACTTTCATTTGTGATAGGTATCTTCTTCTGGAACTTCAGTGGAGGATGATAATCAGACTTTTCCTACCCTCTGCCCTGCAACAATGACCGTCTGGTATCGAGTGATGGTAAGTTACCAACCTTATTTGTTATGGATGAGCAGTCATATCAAGTAACATAGATGTTGATATTAAATTGTTTGTTATGCAGCATGAAGAGAACATTTCTACGCTAAATAAATTGGTGAGTAGCCGGTTAGGCTGTGTTATCCATCAGTAAAAATAATGAACTTGGTAACTCATTTTCGACCGTGTAATTTGTGTATTTCATGCTTAGGTTAAGGAAATTGCTGTCTTGGAGAAGCCAAGAGGTGGTGCTGAAGTAGAAAGTCTAAAGAGGCTCCTGAACAAAATGTTGCAGTCTGTTAATGTGTTTGTATCTCTTATTAGCGTGTGCAGGAATAACGACAAGGTGGGTTTCTCAATTTTTCTTTTTCTTTTTACATATTTTTGAAGTGTAAAATACCTGAGATTTTGACATTTTAGCTTGATAATAAAATTTAGGTGAGTGTTCATGCAATGGCAGTCAAGTATGGCGGGAAGTTCATCGACTCCTTTCTTAAAGGTATTTGATTTGTTTTAAGATATTGTCCCTAAAGTAATGACTAGACTCCGATGGAGAACTATGGCACGCATAATTATCTGCACCACCTGCTGATTCCTTGATGAAAGACGATGCTGCCTACATGGCATGTCATTCTCTGTTTGGGAGTCGTTGGAAGTACTCCCTTCGTGTACACATTTGAATTTGCATCTGTATCGATTTGTCTATTACGTTTTCTTGTCTTATGAGCTTTGGTGATGTGGTTAAAGACTTATAGGTGTTAAGAGTGGAAGCATGAAACTAAAGGCACAAGAGATTAAATACACATACTGATAATGCACTTCAAGAAAAATATGTTGCCCCTTAACTGTTTCCTCTTCTGATGAGAATAATAGATCACTCTGGATATTGGTTTTCCGCAGAGCTGTCATATTTTCTAAAATCGATCTAGTTTATACTACTTATGTTTAACATACGTGGTAACCACAAAATACATGTTCTAGTCTCGAATTTCTTTATTTAACTGGTCAGAGATGGACTAAAGATAAGCAAGGTACAGCCTTGAGAATGCAAGTTAGTAACAAGGAGATACAAAATATGGTATCGCAGTATCGGGACTTGGGGATTTTAAATCATTCTAAGAGTAAAACGAAAGCAGTATTATATAAAAGACGTTTGGTTTACTTGTTTTTGTATATTTTCTTGAATAATTAGCAGCTCTTTGTGTCAAAATTTTATCTTTTTGGCTAGATGCTATTGTTACGAGGTCTTTCGAAAAATGAATAGATAATTATGAAGGGAAGCTATTGGAATTATGACTATCAAATGATTTTATCTTGGGTTGCTGAATAAAGTTGTTCCTCTCCAGTTTTTGATTTCTTACAGGCCCAGTTTGAGATGCACAAGGACCTCATACTCAACCTGGTTAGAGCATTAATATCGAGTCATGTTATTTATTGATGATAAAAAGTATTTGTTGTAACGAGTTTCTTTTCCCGTGTCAGATAAAAGAGCTTCAGAAAGCAACAAGAACCATACAGACACTATGTTCTGAAGCCAAGGTGAGCTTGTCTGTCTTAGTTTGTATTCCTCGACGACACTCCTTAACATACATAATATTGTGTATTTATTTTTTATTTTTTATTGAAGGGCTCAAAACAAACTGCTATAACTTGCAAGATCCCCGCCACGAAAAGATCCATGGAACGATTTTTATTTCATGTCAAGGGTCTTCTTTACGCAACACCAAGTGGATGCTCGTTCTGGATGGGTAAATAAATATATTTTCCTGCATCTATATTCGATCACCAGATATTTTATTTTATTTAATTTGATAACTACGGTTTCGGTAATTTTGTCAGGCAATTTAAAGCATAAAGATTTGACGGGACAAATAGTTAGCTCTCAAGCATATTTGGACACTCAAAACGATGATATAAACAACGATGACTCTGCAGACCCCATAGTTGAGGACCAAACGGCCGAATGACATCTGGCATTCCAAGAGAAAAATCAAGAAAGGCATGCTGTTATGCGTACTTTCTTCTTTTTCCTTTTCATGTTCAAAACGTGAAATAGCTTATTATACCGACAAGACAACGACTTCGATAGTTATTGCTTCGAGCGTCAGTAGTGTAATTAGACGATATTATATTAAAAATTATATTATAGAGAACCAAATTTGGAATATTTTGGAGCTAGAACAGAGGTATCTGTTAGACCATGTAAGATGATTAAACATTTATATGATCGTATTATATATATATATATATATATAGATACTGCATGTAAGGGGTTGGCCAAGTGTTATTGCTTTCAACTATATAATAATTGGTAGTGAAAAAAGGGTAGGCCATAAATATTTTCAGAATAACATGTGAAACTAACAAACTTTCCTTATTAGGAAACAACACAACGTCACAAGTTTAAATCAACTCAACCCCATGTGGACATGTACATTCATATTTTTCACATGTCCCAAATATTATTTTTTATTATTATTATTACTATATTACCTTTTTTTTTTTTTTTTTTTTTTGGTTATTGCAATTACTTTACAATCCAACTGCCTATCCCATGTTTTATATATATGTGCCAAAACCACAATCCTTTTGGAAGATATTTTTGCAGTGATGCTTCACTTCTTCACCACTCTAATATCTTACACCTGATCGATGAAAATTTCGAAAAACTGATTGAAAAAAAAACTGTTTCTTATTTTTGCGTAAGTTCATTCAAAGCATGCAGAGAAAGTGATCGAAGAGGGACTAGGAATGAAGAGACACTGCAACCTAAGCGTTCCATTTCGTCGATCCAATGTAACATCGGCCTCATTGGTAGGTCCTCGTAGCCAACTAGTGTAAGTAGCATTGCCTTTTTTTTTTTTTTTTTTTTATGTAGTTCTCTGCGTGTATCTGATAATGAACTGCAATTTAACTAATTCCAATGTACGTCGGGAATAATAGGACACTTCCTACTTTGGCGGCCTGTTTTCGATTTTGGAAGTTATTACGGTTTATTCCGTGAGAATGTGAGAATGGATTAAGTTGAATCATATGACATGAGGGTGTGCTTAATGAATATAAAGTATATAATATTTCCGATAATTAATTGTGAAAATTAAATGTTCGTAGGACAACTAGGTCAAATGGAATTACCATAACCAGCTCCTACAGTGATGCAACTGAGCTTCAGGTACCTTCTTCAACAAGTTTCTGTAAAACATATGATCGATATAGAAACATTTTTTTTTTAATCTTTTCTAACTCTTGAAAAAAACTAACTGTAAGAAAACATATGTGCTGATTGTTATCCAGGCAATAGCGATTCTTTGGGTTGCAAGAAGAGAAACCGAAGAGAAGTATAATGCGATGAGGTCGATAAATGCGGGATCGCTCTCTCTGCACCATGGAAATGGAGGACTCTCACTAAAGAAATCTCTTCAGATATTTCTGCAGAAAAGGAAAGATAGAATTCAAGCATCCATGCCCTACTAGATAGATAATATGTATTTAATTATAATATGAGATTGATAATATATTCTGTAATATTGATATATCATTTGAATGCTATTAAGTTGTGAAGAAAGAATTTATTGTAACGAGAGAATGGTCCAAACTGAGTTTCTACTTTGGTTCTCTTTGTTACTTGTTATGGGAAATGAGAGTTGGTTGAAGTGAGATAAACTCTAGTTTTAATGCATAACAATGACATGTTTCGTTCTGTTACGTTGGAGCTCATTCAACAATGGTCGAAATAGCAAAAGTTGGTGACTGTGAATCAAATGTGGGGAAAAAAAAAAATTCTGAAAAATCAATGCTAAACACTAATTTTATAAAGGCTGCGTGCGGCTATATGCAAGACTAATTACACTTGTGCAAGACAAAATCAAATTTTTCAATGTATAAATACTATAATACCCTTACTTGTTAAAAAAATTAAAAATTCTAAATATGCAATACCAAAAACTTAAAAACACAAAAAACCCTATCACAAAACCAAAAGACCAACTCTCATCTTCTCCATCCTCCAAGACCCACAAAACCTTTCTCCTTCCTCCTCCATAAACACATAAAACCTACACATTCAAAATCATCAAAACTCAACAAATCTTACAAAGATGAAATGTATGGAGTCATAAGACATCAAAATAGAAGATTCTACGGTGGAAGAACCCAATAAAATATGCATTTATTTGTTTTTTAGCTAGAATATCGTTTTTCCAAAAAACATCTCGCGCAAATGCAGTCGACATGTACATGTCGAATTTTATAGATAAAAATCGACATTGAGATGTCGATTTTGGAGTACAAAATCGACACCCTAGTGTCGAAATTTAACTGTTAGCAAATTAGTCCAAATATACTAAATTTCGACATTCAGGTGTCGAATTTATGTCCATAAATTCGTCAGCTTAATGTCGAAATTTAGTTGTTTCATATTTTTTAAAAAAACAATCCCGCGCAGACGCGGTCGACATGTGTATGTCGAATTTTATAAGTAAAAATCAGCATTGAGATGTCGATTTTGGAGTACAAAATCGACACCTTAGTGTCGAAATTTAACTGTTAGCAAATTAGTCCACATAAACTAAATTTCAACATTAAGGTGTCGAATTTATGGACATATATTCGACACTTTAATGTCGAAATTTAGTTGTTTCATTTTTTTTTTAACTTTCTATTTTCCAATTATACTTTTTATTTCAATATTCACTTATTTTTATAGCAATTTGAATTATTTGAAGGCACCAACTGGTTATGAAGCGAATGCGAAAACGCAGTTTATTGTCCAAATTCATCCAATATTTAAAAAATATGTACAAGAGATCAAGAACGTCGCATCAAGAGCGGCGGAGCTTTGGCAGCGAAGCTTGAGCGTATGGTAGGGTTTCACAGGAGAGACGGGGGGATGGGGTTTTTTTAATTCCACGTTTTTTTTTTAATTATTTGTTATTTGGTCTTGCATGAGCAAACAAAAGCTAATTTAATTTATGGGTATATTTGTTATTTCATCTTAATAAAATGAAATCTTTTGGAATCCTTGTTTAATTTGATCTTGCACAAGTGGGATTAGTATTGCATATAGCCGCAGCCTTTTATAAATTGATGTACTTAGAAAACAAACTTTAAAGTTGAAGGTTCAATTTAATCCTTGTTTTGGCATTAAATATTATTGTCTCAGACAGTAATTTTGTTAACATAATAATTTAGGTAGAAAAACAAAAGTCAAGATCGGAGACTGGCCGGGAAAAATATTTCAGAAAAAAAAAATTCAAAAAAAAGTCAACGCCAGAATCTGGCCGGAAAAAAAATTTTGAAAAAAAATTATTTTCTAAAAAAAATATTTTTAAAAAAAGTTGTGAAAATGGAAGTTAATGTGTTATATTTGTTCAAATTCGGGGTCAATGTGCAATATTGATAAAGTTAGAGTATAATGGTGAAATTGATAAAAAATATATCATAAATGGTATTTTAGGCAAAAAACATGAGGATGGATTTATTTGCGAAACTATTTTTTGTGTGGACTTATATACACTTGACTGGAGTCATAAAATGCACCAGGAAGTTTATTGGCAATATTTTGTAAATGAATGATTCTATGGATCTTATTTTCACACTCAGAGGTACGTGGGTCTAGATGAGATAAATGTTTCACTCACCATGTGAGATTTTTGATTGGTTTTTGTTTATCATTATCATGGGTATCTGAACATCCTTACCAATCGGTATAAATAATGTCTCATCAAAGTGATTGTCCGCAAGTCTAGCTGTAAATAAATCACTTGTCATTGGTTTCAAGAACCTAATAATTAACGGTGAATCAAATCCAACGTATATGCCAAGTCGGCTTTGGGAACCTATTTTAGTCCTCTAAGGATGAGGAATTGACACTTGCACACCGCAACTAAATGTGCGTATGTGCGAAATATCGGGCTCGAAGCCCAAGGCCAATTGCATTGGTGAATGCATATGATAAGCACTGGGGCGCAATTTAATCAGTGCTGATGCGTGCAATACTGCAAGGCCCCATTCTGCACTAGTGAGTTTAGATCTCATCCGCAAAGTACGAGAGATTATTTGGACGCGTTTGATGAAAGATTTTGCCAGCCCATTCTGAGTGGGAACATATGCTATTGGGTACTCGACATTTATTCTGAGTGTTACACAATAATTTATACTAGTAAACGCGCAAATGCCACATTTGCGTAGTACCATTAGGCAACATAATTGTTGCTATCTCGGAGTCATTTATTATCTCCATGGGATATGAAATGGTTTTAATTTGCATTTAATTTATTCAAGTCTTACCACTAGATCTTCACATGTAAGATCCTTTTAACCAAGTTTCGTACAACTTTTTAATTCTTTTACCAATCTTCATAGAAAATACTAGATCTTAACATACAAGACCTTAAATCAAAAATCAATCAAGATCAACACACGCAAGGCATTAATTAACTCAAATAAGCACTTAGGCATCTTTATACCAAAATTCAAAACATCACACATAAACAGAAATTTCCTTTTTACACAAATCCCACATGCATCCATACTATTCTACTCCTATTTCATCACTTTTCCCATTTCAATAGTTAAAGAGGCAATTTATAAAGTTTTGTAGTTAAGACAAAAATTCCATTTCTTTTCACAAATCAACAATTAATCACTAGATTAACACATGCACGACACTAATTAAATCAAATAAGCATCTTAGGCATTTTCCCCCAAAATTTGAAATATCATAGAACTTCAAGAACAAACTTTTCTCCTTAAAATACTAAGATGCAATCATCATCTAAGCAATGTAACCATATAATATGCAAGTATTAGTCAAGAATTCAAGGAAAACCCGAAATAATATTGGTGTTGCATATTTGAGCAAGAATTCAAGAATTCTCACCTCTAATCTTCAATGGGAGGAATTGTTAGCTCTTTTCTCTATAATACAAGAAGAGATAGAGGGTTAGATTATAATTTTAAGATGAGAGGAAGACAAATTTAAAGAAAAGAGAGCTCTTTCTTCGAAAAATGAAGAAAAGGAAGAAGAAGCTTACACTTAAACTTGACCGAAAATTCTCCTTTTGTTGAATTAGAAAGAGACCTTGAACTTATAGATGGTGAGAGTGGAGTTTGAGAGTGCATTTTGATCTTGGATATTGGAGGTATTTATAGAGTTTTTGGAGACTTCAAAGCCTATGGAGAAGAATGAGAAATACATGTTTTGTAGAAGTCGATTGCAATTTCTTGGGGAGGTGTGGTGGTGGCTCTTGGGTGCTTAATATCAAGAAAATGGTGGCTATGGTGGGCGGTTGAGGCTGCCTAAATGAAGGGGAGAAAGGAAGAAGAAGGGTGACCTTTGGGTTAGCTAAAGTTGGAGTGTAGGAGTTGTTAAGTGTGCTCTAGCTAATGATTAGAAAAAAACTAGAGTTAGGTATTTCTTTTAATGCTCAATGTACAAGCCTTCTAATGCTTGTTCTTCTTCTTCTTCTAATTAATATGCATTATTTTAAATTCTTGTGTGTGTGTATGTATAGTAGGGGCCTAAAATTTCAAAAAAATAAGGGGATGATTTTCTAATTTTCATCACCAATTAAAAATCCTAACATTCATGAGTAAATTTTTATTTTCTATAATTTAATGCATGCATAAATGTAATAAAATGCTCATTTAAATTCATTATGCAAGAATCAAATTTTTGTTCATGGAAATAATTTATTTCGACATAATATTTTTAAATATTTTCTAATCACATAATTCACATACTCACATAAACAATTGGTTATGCAAGGATTATTCTAAATTCTAATCTAATAAATTTGCACATAGAGGTGGTGAAATAAAATATTAATATTTTACCAAAAATGTGGGGTGTTACACTAGCCCTATTATTTTGAATTGATGCGGCCGAACCAGTGCAAACCAATTGGCTCAAATCGGAATGTTGCAACAGATTCGATCCAACAGCTCTATAGCCGAAACAGTGCAAAATTTGGGATAACTGGTGGGTCTTGCACCCTTTTCTCCAAGGGACATTGCTTTTAATGTTTTATAAATAGACTCCCGCTTTTCCATAATTCTTCACTTCAAATCCAAATACCATTTTCTCTTCTTCTTCAATTCTAACCTACCTTTTCCAGATTGTCTCGAAAAGTTTCACACAAAGTACAATTCGTCGTACTTGGAATTTGGAGTGCTCCTATTCCAAGTTTGCTGTTGCAACTTGGGAGACGATTTCTGTTAAAGCCGTAAGCACCGTAGCAGGAAAATTTCGTCTTAATGACAGAGGCAACTCGCCTCGCCAATTCAATAAAAAAACAAAATTTCGACAACAATTTTTGGTATAATCTATGCATATTTATTGACTATTTTAATATGCGCGCAACCATCTAAAACGACATATAATATGGGTCATATATATATATATATATATATATATATATATATATATATATATATATATATAT